AGGAAGGAAGGAAGGAAGGAAGGAAGGAAGGAAGGAAGGAAGGAAGGAAGGAAGGAAGGTTGGTCCCTGCTCTTCTCCTGCTTCAGGCTTTAATGAAATGCTGGTAAAAATGCTCATAAAAGTGGCCAGATTAGTGGGTACTTCCCAAACCGCTGGGGCAAGAGTATGTGGTCAGCAGAAAACGTTAGCACAGTGAATTGAAGCTTAATTAGCCAAGCTTTTCTAGCAAAATGATCTTCTGGGCTCTTGGAAACCCTGGCAGTCCTCGTCATTTCACTTGTTGAGGGGAAACTGAGGCATGGAGGACAAGAGAAGGTGAGGCATATCTGGCTGGATCTGCCTCGGGGGTCCTAGCTTTCAGGCTGTCCTCTTTTGGTCTTGAAAATAATTGGACTCTACATAGCACACAGGCCTGGAGCCCCAGCATTCTTGGAGGCTGGGATCCAGGCAGGAGAATCTTTGAGAGTTGGAAGCTAGTTTACATAGTGAGACCCTATCTCAAAGGAAAAAAGAAAAAAGAAAGAAAAAAATTAGGGTCCTCCGTCTGGCACCGCTCTCTACTCACGACTCCTTGTAATAGACGATGAAGCTGAGCAGGTCCCGGGCCTCCAGCGGCTCATAGCGTTCCCAGCGCAGCAGGATGCGGTCGGCCTCAGTCAGGTTGAACACAAAGCGCAGAGTGCGAGTCTGGCCTGGGCAGGGCAAGGGAAAGCATCCGCTCTAAGCACGCCTGGACAGGCTCCTGCTGATGCTGATCCCACGGCTGCTCACCCCCTTGGGTGACCCCCTCAGTGTTTCAGTGCGTGTGTGCGTGTGTGCGCGCGCCTCTGCTGCCCCGCGTACACTCTTTGGGTTGGGCGGGGTCTTACAGGCAGCTCGATCTCCATTGGTGCGGGGGTTGATCTCCGCTTTGCTCTGTCGTCCTCTGGTCCCCGTCACCTCCTCCAGTTGGTATATGTGCTCCAAGCAGAGGCGTGGATTGAAGGCGAAGTACATTTTGCCCACAGGAATGGTGAGCCCCACGGCCACCCAGGACCCCAGCTGTTGCAGGTTCTGGTTGTCCAGCACGTAGAGAGTGTAGTTCCTGGAGAAAGCCAGGTGCCTCGCTCTGCCAAGTGGCAGGGGCTGGGGCAGGAGAGGGGCTGGCTCATGGGCTCCCCTGCAGAGGCTGCTCTGGGCACGGGTATCACATCCACGAGGGTGTTCAGGAGCACCCGCTCTGTGCCACTGGCCAGGAATGTGACATCCTGAAATTCACCCACCCTCCCTCTGCCGAACTGGCCACTGACGCCAGGCCAGCAGTTTGTCTGTCTCTTCCCTCCTTCATCTCACATTTAAAAGCACTGGCTGTGGGGACACAGAAGCTACGCCTGGCCAGTTTGGGTATGGGTACCCCTAGGGGGACGGGATAGTATGCCAGGAGACAGAGGAAGCCACGGGGAACCTCTCGACTGATGGCAATTGAAACTTCTTTTCATTTTGAAGAACACTGGCTACTTTGTGAGCAGGCCTTGGTTCCTAGGTGGTAAGAATGGTTTATACACCCCCCATCAGGTTCACTCGGCCACCAAACTGATCAGGTGATGCAATCATGGCCCTCCGCTGGGGAACAGCAGGGAACTAGGGCCGCATGTACTGTGTTCGAGTCACTGTTGACAACACTCCACACACAACGGCAGAGGCAGCAACCACAATCCTGGAGCACACGCTTCATTTTACAGATGGAAATCCCAAGGGCCAGAGAAGTCAAGGAACCTCCCCAAACTCACACAGCTAGTTACTAGCAAACTAATTTCAGAACCCAATTCCCTTCCCCATTGTTCCAGGAAGGCTGAGGAAAAGGGGGCTGGTCAGCCTGATTCTGACCCCTTACCCATCCACCATGGAATCTCCCCGGATTAGTTTGAGGTTCTTGAAAAAGCCCAGGGACACGAGTGCAAACGAGTGCTTGATTTTGAGGAAGCCGGTGATGGTCTCCACCAGCCCCAGGTTGCGTTGAAGCTCTGGCTCCAGGTTGTCTGGGGATGAGGAATATAGGACTGGAGCAGGGCCAGGGAAGGTGACAGGTCCACAGGGTAGGGAGCTGGAGGGACAGAGGGACAGGACCCTGGATGAGGGGAAGCCACATGCAATGGACTACAGTTAGGAGGGAGGGTGTGCTCAGGAAGAGTACTGACAGCCTTGGCGAAGGTTGAGGATGAGGCTCCCCTCCACGTGGGTGCAGCCCACCAGGTCCTGTGTGGCTTGGACAGAGTCAATGGTCTTGGTGCCAACCTTGCACTCTTTGGGACACAGTCCCTCACATTTGCGGCAGAAAATGCTGGCGGGACAAGCAGAGAGCCTAAGCCGCGGTCCGATGAAACTGTTGGGGGGGGGGCTCCCCCGACAACCCCAAGGGTGTCCCCCTCACCTGCTGCCATTACGGGTGAAGCCTGGAGGGCACTGAGCCAGGCAGCTGCCCTGGTAGATGCCGAAGGTGGCGGTGCGGCCCGGCACCTCCCGCAGATGAGCACAGACCTCAGCGGTGACGCAGCGCCAGGACTCATACTGGTAGGTGCCCAGAGGGCAGGCCCGGAGGCAGGCTCCTTGGAAGTAGAGGTGGCGGCAAGCCACACAGGCACGCGAGTCTTCAGGCTGGCTGCAGCCCCCCAGACATTCACTGTGGCAGCACTCACCGTCTGCTGTGCAGGCCAGCCCACCGGGGCAGGGGCACACTGCGGGCAGAGGGCTGTAAGACCTTACCTGCCCCTCCACAACCCCTCAGTGATGCCCTTTTCCCACCCTGGCCCACCCCATCTTGAGATGACCTTCTCGGCCCTAGGTATCTCTGGATTCAGATTACACTACTGTTTCCTTCCATCACGGATGCTGGAAGGCCAGCAGGAGGCCTCTCTCTGTGCTCCACCTTGAGAGTATATCAGAACTCAAGCTGGCCTGTGTTGCAATCCCAGCACTTGGGAGGCAGAAGCTGATGGATCTCTGTGAGCCTGAGGCTAGCCTGGTCTACAAAGTGCATTCCAGTCCAGCCCAAGCTACACGGAGAGACCCTCTCCCAGGAAAAAAGAAAAAAGAGAGAGAGTCTCGGAACTCAGGATGGAGCAGTGACCTTATCCATCAGGCTTGCTGCTCTGCAGCCTGCTGTCCTGTCTAGGCTGTCCCGTGGTGACTTGGTACGGTGCCAAGGGGAACCAGCTGGCCACTCCTGATCAGCTAGGCCAGGGCAAGGTGGGTCCAGCCAGGGCCTGTTGACATGGTACACAAATTGAGAGGACATGTAGCAGCTGTGTTTACAGGCAACAGGGAGGCAGCTCACTGCTGATACAGCAGGGATCTGGTTATTCTCCTGCCCGGAGTTGAGGCTAGAGGTGAGGGCACAGACCTTGAGCAGTATGAGAAAGGCTCCTGGCTGGGCTAGGGACCCCCAGATCTGCTCCTGGCCTCTGGAAGGTCTTACTTCCCCATTTTCTCTTCTGCATTCTTTCTGCCTCTGTGAGGGTACTTCCGAGGTCACATGCTTGCCTTGCCTGCCCAAGTCTTTCCATCCCTTCCCCCTCCTTTCTGCCCTCAACACCTCATCTCTCTGTTGCACTGCTCCCAGCTCCCCGCTTAATCACAGGGGCTGAGACCACTTTTCCTGGGAGCGCAGAACTGATACCATGACCCTGGCTCTGTTCTGATGCTCTGCAGGCTCCTACCCACGCCCTCTCATTGCTCAGAGGAGACAGAGGCCGAGACGCCAGGTGAGCCTGGTTAGTGATCAGAGGTCAACCCAGGTCGCCGGGCTGCATCCTTGGCTGCTGCCCCAGAGGACAGTTTCTTGGGCTGACTTCTATCCACCTGTGTCTACCCCCTCTTCCCAAACCCCCTCCTCACCTACTCTATGCCTGCCTGATGCCACATCAATTATTTAATTTCTCTGAACTTCAGTTTCCTTTCCTGTAAGATGGGATAATGAGGTACCTGTCCCATAGGAAGGGTAACGATTTAAAAAACAATGGCAGCAAGCCAGGCATAGACCTGTAATCCCAGCACTTAGGAAACAGAGACAGAAGAATTAGGTGTTCAAGGCCAACCTCAGCCACGTGTCAAGTTTCAGGCCAGCTTGGGCTACATTATATGTTGGCTCCAATACCAAACAATTATCAGGCGGGACAGCCCAGCCTCCCTGTGGCTACAGCCATGTTCTGTGCAAATGCCCACCTCTCTGGCAGTGGCTGGAAGTCCAGCACCTGTAGTCAGTGTGCCCACTGAAGGTGGTTCTTGCACAGGGTTCACCAGCAGCTCCCAGCACACCAGGACACACGTCAGCACACTCGTCGCCCAGCTTGTTACCCACAATGTGGTTGGCGCCAGGCGCAGGCTGCAGCAGGCCCCAGTCGATGGTGGAGAGGTGGCAGAGTTCCTGGTTCTTCTCCACGCGCACAGCCCCACGCAGCACGGCCCCGAGCGACGGCAGCCCGACGTCCCGTAGGTGGGGCATCTCAAAGATGATGAGGGCATAGCCCAGGAAGAGGCGTGCCCCTCGGATCACAGCAAGGTTGGGGAAGAGGTCTCGGAGGCTCTCCAGGCCGTAGACGCGGAACAACAGCAGGTAGTCCGTGACCTGCGTAAGGCGTGGGAAGCTGAGGCCTCTGAAGTCCTCTCCAGTGGCAGCAAACATGAGGAGGATCTGCAGGTGGCCCTCCACCACGCTGCAGTTCTCCAGCCGACGAAGCTCGGTCACCTCAGAGCGGATATCCAGGCTAGGGCACACTGTAGGCACACGTGGGCAGGAAAATGAGTGCAGTGCAGACCAAAGAACCCTGTCCCGGCACCACACTGGCAGGAGGGCACAGCATGGACGGTACCAAGCTGGGCTCTAATGAAGAGCTGCCTCCTCCCAAACATGCCGGCCAGACTCCTGGCTTAGCGTCTTTGTGCCTTTCATTCCTGTAAGTGGAACACTTGCCCTTACATGGCCCCGACTCCCCACCTTCTAAAGTCACCTCAGTGAAGACTTCTCCCACTGTCTTGCTAATCCGCTCTCCCCCAGCCCTTTTCCTGGGCTCAGTGCTGGTTAGGCAAACACCATATCGTTGAACTAACATCCCCAGTCCATGGTGTTTTGAGACAGGAGCTTACTGTGTAGCTGCGGGAGCCTGGAACTCTGTCCTTCTGCCTCCGTCTCCTGAGTCTGTATACCACACCCAGTTTCCCTTTAACGCCCAATTAACCTACGTGTAATTCGCTTATTTATTTTGCTTATTGCAAGCCTCATGAGGGCAGGAATTTTTGTTTAACTCACTGCTATATCCTAGTTCACGTACAGGGCCTGCTGCAAAATTGGTGCTCAGTGAGTGTTTGGAGTGTGAATGTACACTGTGCCCAGGAAGAAGTGAGTACTGAGTGAGTGAGTATTGAGTGAGTACTGAGTACTGAGTGAGTGAGTATTGACTGAGTACTGAGTGAGTGAGTACTGAGCACTGAGCGTCTCTGTCCTCAGGGAGCCAGCCGCCCTGGTACCTAACTCTTTTTTGCTTTTGAAGGGACATTCCATAGTTCCTCTTTGTCAAAGGTCCTCATCTGACTACCTCACCCAGATATTCTGGGGTGTAGACAAGCTAGTCCCCATTCGTTTCTCCAGCCTCAAACCCAGAAAGGCTCCTTAGGTCTTTGACCTACAGTCCTGGAGTCTGGTGTTCTTTCCATAGCTCTCTGGCCCTGCACCACTACCCCTGTAGGAGAAAATACCCTGAGTTCAGCAGCGAGTCGTGGGAATACATACATCCCAGTGGTGCTGTCCAGCAGGGCTGCTTACATTTCCACCACGCTCTTCAAAGTCCTGGTTATTCTAAGTGTGCACCTACCATGGTACCTGGCTCAGGACTGGAACTTCTGGGCACCCAGGGACTATGGGCCGTGAACATCTGGATCCCAAACCTACCCTTTCCTTTGGGACCCAGTCCATTCGCCTTTCTGTTCTCAAGGCCGTCAGGCTAATTTCCCTATAGGGGCTGGATGCTAGGCTCCACTTGCTCCCAGGGAGAGCTTGCAGGTAGGTCTTCATAGAAGACACGCATCTGAATGCTTCCGTTTAACACCCAGGTCTGTTTCCTCTCTCCTCATCTGGCCCTCTAGAAACATCACACCCTGGCACCACACCCCACATTCTCCCACACAGGCCAGCCCTGTCCCCAGCTCAGGGCTTGTCAGGGACAGCTGGGATGGGTTGGGGGACAGGAAAGCCTAGCTCCCTGTGCCTTCTCTCTGTGGTCTGTGCTTGGCTGTCTAGCTCTTGGGTGTGTGCACTCGCCCCCACCCCCACATGCTTGTGCACACACTAGGCAAAGGCAGGTACATACACAAAAAGGACGAGAAGGAAAAACACTTCTCTTCCCTCCGTGAAAGCCAATTAGGCTCTTTGAGGCAGGTGGGGGGGTTCCCTCAGGCGCCCACTTCCCATCATGCCTTAGCCTCTCCAGAGCTCCCCTAATGCGAGACATTGGAAAAACAAATCCGAGACCTCTGCAGGTTAACTCCTGCCTTTCCTCGGGACCAGCTCCAGGCAGAGCGAGCTTCACTGGGAACCAACAGCTGTGCCGGGGGACTAAACACTAAGTCCCGGGCTTGCCGCTTTATTTTGACAACCGTGCTCTTGCCTGGCGTCTGCTGTGCAGTGTCCTGGGACAGAAGGGGCAGGGGTAGGGTGCTCAGGTGGATCAGCATGCACTGCAAATCTTCTGTGTCTGGCCCCTTTCAGAGGGCGCCTTGCCCGGGTCCGTCTGTATTGTCTGTATAGGAAAGGGAACCCTGCCTTGGTTTTGGAAGCCCCACTCAGAAGAGCATCTTAAGACCCTTCACACTTCCAGAGTGCAGAGTTCCCAAGCTCTCCTTGTGTGGAGGACAAAGGCAGGCTAGATGAGGGAGGGGTACACTTAATCGTTCCTCTTGGGCTGCTTCTGTTTCCTGGCAAGCCTCTGAGGGTAGTTTGGGCTACGTGGTCCCCCTCACACTTCCTGGATGCCCTTGGTGGGAAATGTGTGTGGGGAACAGCACTGAGACACAGGACAGAGTCCTCTCTCAGGCAGCCCTTCTGCCCACAGTGGGTGAACCCCCAGGGTGGGGAACAGGACCAAAGCCTGGGGTGCTAGAGTTCAAGACCTGCCCTGGGGCTCCCTCTCCAGCCTCAGCCTCCTATCCGCACAATAGGTCAAGTTGCTTAATGATGCCTGGTGTTCAGCTGTTGGTCCCAGCCTGCCCCTTATCATTCAGTGGTCCTAGAAAAGACCCTTAATTCTCACAGTCTCATTTCTGTTCAAACTCAGACTTGACCAGGATCGCAGTTTCACAAACAACGATGGGTTGGAGAACATCTGTTCATTCCCTTTCTAACGCCTTAACTCTTAGGGAGCTGAGAGAGGGAAAAAAAGCTTCATCTAACAGTTTTTTTTTTTTTTTCTGGTGAAAAGTCCTTTTGAGGGCTAATCCTAGTCTTCAAGTTCCAATAAAGACTAAATAGAAGTCAGAGGTGGTGGCACACGCCTTTAGTCCCAGCAGGGGCAGGTGGATCTCTAAAGGCCAGCCTAGTCTACAGAGCAAGTTCCAGGACAGCCAGGGCTACACAGATATAACCCTGTCTGGAAAAAACCAAAACAAACAAACTAAGACCAAGTAGATGTGTTCTTGGAGGGAGATGGGGGTTGGAAAGACGTTGCTGGGGACTCACCCTCTAGTGTGTCCAGGCCAGATCCCAAGGACAGCAGGCTCATAAGCAAGTGTACTCCCCAGGGCCACAGAGCAGGCACGGCCACCATCTCTGCCCTGAGTGTCCTCCAGGTGTCCTCCAGGGGGAAAGGGTCTCATGGGATGCAGACCCAGGATCCGAAGTCGGGGGTGGGTGGGGTGGGGGGTGAGGCACAGGGGCAAAGGGATTGGAAATCTCAAGTAGAAACAGCAGGAGATAGAAAAGAATGTCGGACCAGAGGAAACAAAGCCTGTGCCAGGCAGCTGGACACAGCTTCGGGTGTGATCCACAGACAAGGGCTGGGACAGGGAGAGATGAAGTCAGGAGCAGGAGAGCCTCAGAGAGGCCTCCAGAAGGAGAAATTGACCCAGGATTCAGAACACAAGGGTCCAGGGGCTGGACAGTCCCGAGGGAGGCGGAGCGGAAGCCCCGGGAGGGTCCCCTCCCGGAGGCGCGCAGGACTCCACCCCGAGACTCCGCGGACCTCCTGGGCATACAGACTTCCAGCCTCCGGTCGCAGGAACGGCAGGGACCTCGCCCAGCTCCCGCCCTTTCCAGAAACGGATTGGTTTGTGCCGACTTCTCTGTTCTCTCCGCCCCTCCCACAAAGTCATGTAAAAATATTTAGCCTGTCAACTGAGGGAGGTGGGGGACAGATGTGTTGGGGGAAATAAGGCCAAAATACCGAAGGGGTTGGGGGCCAAGAACTGGGCTCCCAAATCTTGGCGGCGTCTCTCTCCTTCCCCTGGCACCGCCTCCACGGGCTGCAGACCTGGAGCAGTGACTGGGCGCCCTGGTCTGAGCAGCGGAGGTTCTGGAGTCCAACAGGTGTTTTGACACCCTAGAGGGTAACAGCCCGCAGCCTGGACAGGTCGGACTCCCTTGTGGAACCTGAAGGTCTCAGACCTTCGCCTCTCACAGCCCTTCCCAGCCTCCCGAGGCCACTTTGACCATAACCCCTCGGTGCGGGGTGTCCCTGCCAAGTCCCTTGGTTCTGGCTCAGATCCCTATGAGAAGAGATTCCGCCTTCGTTTGGTTACTCGGGATGGTTGGTGGGTCTCTGCATGTATACTCTTTCGGAGCACTTGGGGGACTATTTACGCTGGGGCCTGGCGCAGAAAGGTACCTGCTACTAGGAGTCCTTCACTGGGTAGCTGGGTCCTACTCACTTCCAGTCACTCCCAGTACCGACCTGCTCCCTCTCTTAAGCGTGGGACTTACGGACTTGCAGCCTGGAAGGCCAATGAGCGAGACCTGCCCTTTCTTTGATGGCCTGAATGCTGGGATCCTGGGACTCCCCATGTTCACAAATACCAAGGGCCGAAGGTTCCCAGCTCTACCCGCGGGCAACTCCCGCGTCCGAAGGGCTAAGAGACCTATTAATTTCTCCTCTTAGAAATCGATGCACTTGTCAGGGCGGCGATCGATGCCAGTCCTGCTCTGTTTGGCCCTACCCGGCTCTGGTGCCCCAGCTGGCTGGCTAGGGTTGGGGACCTTAAGACCGAAGGCAGGCGCATCCTCGCAGGGTTGCGAACCGCGCTCCCGGACCCTCGAAGACCCAGGCCGGGAGCAAACGCCGCGGCGCAAGGGCTTCTAGCGCCACCCTGTGGCCTCTTGCGGACCGGGAGCTCTCCACTTTCCACTCTCCCTCCCGCTGTGTTCAGAGAACTCGTCTCTGCACCTTCTGTTTTCCTCCCCAGGTTCTGCGTCCAGCCGAACCCTTCCCTTCCGGGGCCCTCTCCCTTCCCTTGCTAGCGTCTGGAGAGCGTTCATCAAACTTATTCCAAGTGACATGCACACTCTCTTAGGCAAGTGCACCGTGAAGCTGGCCGGGATGACCTGGACTGCAACCTCTTCCTTGCTCAGTCTCTCCCTGTCCCCGCAAATCTGAAAGTGCAGCTGTTTTACTGGGAGAAATAACATATCAGCTTCCTAGCACGACCCCCCACCCCCGCTCCCTCCACCCCCAGGCTCAGAAGACACTTGTGAGGCGTTCTGTGGCAGTCCCCCGCCCCAGGTCTCCTGCAGCCGCGAGGGACATTAAAGAGGCTGGCTGGCATTAGGGAGGGGGCACTGGGGGCATCGGCAGGCGGGGCGGGGCGGGGCGGGGCTGCGGGTGCCGCCCTCTCCTGCCGGCTGCTCTTTAACACCGCCCCGCGCACGTGTCGCGCG